AGGCTCTGGGTTTAGCAGCACATAAAAATAAACAAATAAAAATATAGTTATTGTGTCATCTACAACTAAAACAAATATATAAAATAAATAAATATATTAACCTAGGCCTATACAGGATTAGAATTATCATTGTCTTCTAACTTCACATTTTATCCCACTGTAAGTTCTTCAGGGACAATAACATGCATGGAGCTGTCAACTCCTGTGATAATAATGCCTTCTTCTGGATCCCTTCAGGAAGGACTTTCCTAAAGCTCTTCTGAGAATTTAACTCTTTTCAGAAATATGTCCAAGGTGGTTTGGTTGGTTTCTTTTTTCATCATCAATTTGCTTATAAGGAGATAATGAACCATGACCATTCCTCTCTGCTAATGACAAACTTTCAGTGTTGGGGACCATGTTTTCAAACTTTTTAGGAGCTTGTTGAAACTTGCAAAAACTTCTGGTAAGTCCTTCTGCTAAGCTGTGAATTTTCTTAGGCATTCTTCTTGTTCTTCTGCATTTCACTTTTCTCTTGCTTCTTCTTCAACTATGTGTTCCTGTTTCATTTCCAACAACTCCTCATTAGTCATTTCCTCAGGAACCACCTCTATGTGCTCCTCAATGTCAAATTCATCCCCATGCAGTTTAAAGTTGTTTGTATCTCCATAGTCTTATTGATTTTTGCAACTTCCTCATCCTGGGCAGGAAGTCCTATGAAGTCATGAATGAACCTCTTAAATGTCTTCTTCCACACTGGTGACATCATCCCAACCCCAAGTGAGGCTCTTGAAATACTTTGTAATTCTTCCAGAATTGCATCAGTGTCTTCCTGATGTCTTCATTTGCAGCAATAGCCTGGGAAAAGATTCTCTTCAGGTAGTACATCTTAAAAGCTGTTATGACTCCTTGATCCATCTGTTGAATCAAAGAGCTTGGGTTTAGTGGGGAAAATATTGGTTTGATATTGGGATGAAACTCACCAATAAAAGGAGGATTCATGAGAGCATTATCATGAATCTTGAAAGGTGTGTTCTCTAAATGGCACTTCTCCATTTTGCTGGCACAGTAATGCAGGAGGGCACCTTGGAAGAGGAACTGGGTCATGGCTTCTTATTTCTGCTGTAGTACACTGGCATTGTGTGCTTACTGATATGCTTGAAGACCTTGGAATTCTCACTGTGCCAGATCACAGAGGTTTCAATTTGTTGCATGAAACATTGTCCCATAGCAAGATTGTTAGTCTGTCCTTAAATCCATGGATACTCAGCACTGAACTTAGCCTCCTTATGAAAGGAAGTCTTGTCCAGGGATCTGTTTCCAGAATAAGAATGTTTCATCCACATTGAAGCTTTGCTCAAGCAAGTGATTTTCCCCCAAAATCAGCTTATCTAGAGTTTCCAAAAATTTCTACTGGGGATTGAATCCAGAGCATTTACATGAGCTGCCTCCCCAAGTCCTTCTTGAGACTGAGTCTTGCTAAGTTGCTTAAGGCCATGCTAAATGCTAAAGCAAGTTTCTAACTTGTGATCTTCCTGCCTCAGCCTCCAGAGCAGCTAGGATTATAGGTGTGCACTATCATGCCAGGTACAAAAATTCTCAAGCTGTCTTCACATTAGTATTTGATGACTCAAGTCCCTACTCTTTTTTTTTTTTTTTTTTTAAGATGGGCTCTCACAATGTTGCCTAGGCAGGCCTTAAATTTCTGGGCCCAACTAATCCTCCCTTTTAGCCTCCCAAGTAGTTAGGGTGATAGATGCCAGCCACCACATCCAGCTTAAATAACAAATCTTTCATTGATTGATTAATTGATTGATTGATGGGGGTAAAAACTCGTGCACGATAAGCAATTACTATTTTTCCATCAAGCTACATCCCTAACCAGAAATTATTTTTCCCCGTGTAATGGGGGTTGAACTCAGGGCCTTATGCTCTATCAGCTATGTCCCCAGTCCCAGAATAATGATTCTTGAATCTTTTAAACAACTCAGAGCAGCAGTAAAGTCAATGTCATAGGTAGTCAAGTCCAGTCTTTTCTTTTCACAATCAAACAAATTTTTGCTTTGGTTGTGATGATCTTGAAGTTGATTGGGATATGCTTCTGTGTCCGGCGTCATTAGAAGTTTTTCCATTTCTGATATAGGCTCTTCTCAAAATTTTATTAGTAGGGGGATAGTAGAGGATAGGAAAGGTAGCAGAATACAACAGTTACTAATATGGCATTATGTAAAAATGTGGATGTTACCGATGTGATTCTGCAATCTGTATTTGGGGTAAAAATGGGAGTTCATAACCCACTTGAATCTAATGTATGAAACATGAATTTTTTTAATGTTCTTGGCGTACACAACATCTTTGTTTGTATGTGGTGCTGAGGATCGAACCTGGGCCGCACGCATGCCAGGCGAGCTCGCTACTGCTTGAGCCACATCCCCAGCCCTGTATGAAATATGATATGTCAAGAGCTTTGTAATGTTTTGAACAACCAATAAAAAAAAAATTATTAGCACATTGCTGTCAATGGAAATAGATCCCTTAACAGCCTCTGTCACTTTATTCTTGTTCTTCAAAATCCTAGTTATAGTGTAATGGGACATGCTTGAGAAGTGACTAATAATAATCATTGATTTTCCACCTTTGTAGTGCTTAATTATTTTTTTATGATAGGCTCTCATTGTTTTGCCTAGACTGGCCAAAAACTCCTGGGCTCAAGTAACTCTCCTTTCTTCACCTCCCAGTAGCTGGGATCACAGGTGTGCACCACTTCAACCAGCTTCTTAATCACTTTTAATTTGGTTTTCAGGTCACTCAGTTGATGTGGCCTCTTCCTAGCAACACTTGCAATGGATTTCGCATAATTAGGGACCACAATGAACAAAATAACATGATTAAGTCAAGCACAAGAGAAAATGATGCAATTAAGAGGTGTTGGAAACACAAAATATATGAGGCTGCTAGTGGTGTAACACAGTAAACTTTTTTCTTATAAGTATAAGGCGATACTTTAAAATAATTATAAAAAGGATAATACATAAACCAATAAAAGTTGTTTATTATCAAGTATTATGTAGTGTACATAATTCTATGTGCTATATTTTTACATGACCATAGTACAGTAGGTTTGTTCATACCAGCATCACCATAAACACTCAGGTTACATATTGTGCTATAATGTTACAATGACTAGATATCACTAGGTGATAGGAATTTTTCAGCTCCAATATTCTTATGGGTCATCATAATATATACAGTCTGTTGTCAATTGAAATATTATGTGGTGCATAACTATGATTATATAGTTTCTTATGCATTATTTTATTATCATCAAGACCATTTGTATCATTTTTTAAAACTGTGTTAGAATTGGCTGGGGATGTGGCTCTAGTGGTAGCGCACTCACCTGGCATGTGTGCAGCCCGGGTTCGATCCTCAGCACCACATACAAAGAAAGATGTTGTGTCTGCCGAAAACTAAAAAATAAATATTAAAAAAATTCTCTCTCTCTCTCTAAAAAAAACCAAAACTGTGTTAGAATTATAGCTGGTATTTTGTCCATCCCTTAGGAAATAATGCTGGGGCTAGGGGACATAACTCAGTGGCAGAGCAGTTGCCTAACATGTACGAGGCCCTAAATTTAATCCTTAACACCAAAGGGAGGGGGAAAGGGGGAGTCTCTTCCTAAGGAAATAATGAAGAATAACCACCCACCTTTTCTAAAATATAATTCCATACCTCCTCTTCATATGTATGCTTTAAGTCCTATATGTTATTATAAAATCATACTTTCTGTGGCTACTTAAAAAAACAATTTGCAGTCAGGTGCAGTGGTGCACGCCTGCAATCCCAGCATCTCAGGAGTTTGAAGTCAGAGGATTGCATGTTTGAGGCCAGCCTCATCAACTTAGACCCTGTCTCAAAGTAAAAAATAAAAAAGGGCTGGGGATGTAGCTCAGTGATAAAGCATTCCTGGATTAAAGTTGTAGTATCAAACAAAGAGTAATAAAAAAAAATTTACAACTGACTTGAATTTCTGTGGAATGAGAGGGAAACTCTCATTATTATCAATATTGTCACTTAAATTAGGTGGTAGTGCTGGGTTCAGGAACATGCAACAGTTGTTCTCTCACCACACGGAGATCTAAAGCTGTTCCTACATGAGGTAGTAATATGGTGTATATGTGTATGGAGGGGGAGGCGAGTGAGAGAGGACAAAGAGAGATAGAGAGCAAGCGCAAAATTAAGAAAAAAAGTAGGACACAAACAAAACCTAAAAAACAACCACAACAAAAAACCCTATATCTATAAATTCTAGCATTGTGTAAACATTACATTAAATTTGTTATTTATGAAATGTCATTAGACATGAAAATAATTTGTAAGTTAAATTTTCCTCACTTTGCAAAAATTCATGAGTACCTCTGATTTCTGGAAGATTTAGCTAAGCACAAATTACATGACTTCCTGGAAACTCAACAATTTAAAAATCAAAATTATTACAATCTTTAAAAGTTTTTTACACTAGCCAGGCATGGTGGCACACACCAGTAATCCTAGTAACTCAAGAGGCTGAAGCAGGAGAACAACAAATTCAAGATCAGCCCGGGCAATTTAGCAAGACCCTGTTTCAAAACTAAAAGCAAAAAGGGTTGGGTAATGTAGCCCAGTGATAGCATGCCCCTGAGTTTAATCCAAAGTACAGCCCCTCCCACCAAAAAAAAAAAAAAAGAAAGAAAGAAAAAGAAAAGAAATACTACTACAAAATGTTATATTTAACATGGAATTTGAATGTATTTTAAGAATGTGATTTTGTAAAATTAAGGACTCCAAAGTAAGGGTGCTAAGGCCCATATTGTTTAAAACAATATTAACTCTAGGAATTTTTCTGATCCTTAGCCAACTGAACTAATCATTCTCTTCTCAGTTCTCTAAAGACTGTAGGGGTTGGGGAGAGGCTCAGAAGGGTTCCTCTGTTTACTTGTCTTCCTAGCTGGATTCTAGGCTCCACCAAGAACAAGCCAGGCTGGATAATCATCAGTTTTATTAGTGCCTCATATAGGGACACATACACATACAAATAAGAATATAAAAAAAGGATTCAAAATCCATTTCTTGTCTTCTTTTTTTTTTCTTTGTCTTCAGATTGAATGAATATTAGGAGCACTCTCATCTTTCTTGTTTTCTTTGCATATGCTATTTGAGCTATTTGTTCATTCAACCAAGAAGTGAGCCTGCTCTACCTTAGGCAATGTGCCAGGCCTTGTACAGAGGAGGGACAGATGATTCAGCTTGATCAGTCTGTGAAAGAGAAAAGATCAAGGTCTGAGAGCACAGAAGAGGTGATTAATCTAGGCTGGAGGGTCACGAAAGGCTTCCCAAGGAAAATGAAATTGAATACAGGAGGGATAGGTGGGAATAATGATTAGCCTGATGGACTGAGAAGTGGATTTCTGTCAGAGAAACAATATGGGCAAAGGCCCCAACCAAAGGGAACAGTTCTTGAGATAACTAGAAGCACTTTGAATGGCCTAGAGTTTAGAATTCGTGAAGGTGTAGACAATCTTGCTAATGAAATTTGAGAGGCAGTCAGGTTTGTAAACCATTTAAAGATTGTTTTAAGAACAGAATTGGGAAGCTACTGGAAGTTTTGAACAGGGCCAGTATGTGGCCAGATCTACAGTTAAACACAGAACTGTCGGGCTGGGGGTGTGGCTCAGTGATAGAGCGCTTGTCTCACATGCATGAGGCACTGGGTTCGATCCTCAGCACCACGTAAATAAAGTATTTTAAAAAAACATAACTGTCAACTGTGGAGACTACAAAAGTAGATTGGATGATGACAATGACGAATGCACAGAGATTAACGGAGCAGAAGTGTGGTTAAGACATTATGGTAATTTGGGACTATGGTGGTGGGAATGGGATAATTTGAGATATACAACAGGAAAATCTCTGGGTGTGAGATAGGAGGGTAGGAAAGAAGTGATTGGAGAGATAGGGAGAGTTCACTAAAGAGGTTGGACTTTATTCTGAAGGGATAAAGGGAAAGCTATTTAGCATTTTAACAGTGGTACTGATCCATTCAGATATGGGGTTATAAATACACTATCTGGCAGAGGGTGGTGAGAAGACCATCAGAACGGTGCAGCGGTAAGAGGGGAGGTTTGGAGCAGTGGATGTAAGGAAGCGTGGGAGACCGCTGAGAGATTTCAGAGACAGGTACCGCATCCAGCCGGCTCCCGGCCCCCAGCAGCTGCAAAAGCGGGGAGGGGCCAGCCGCGCCTCCAGAGCCGCCC